GGCCACAACACGGAACTCCAGCTAACATACCTCACCGACAAACTTTACAAATCCATGGACTCCGGAAATGATTACACCATCATATACTTGGACATATCAAGATATTTCGAAAAGATATGGCACGAAGGATTAGTTGCAAAATGTGACGCTGAGTTTGGAATACGAGGCACAAATCTCGATTGGCTTAAATCTTACCTTCATGATAGGAAACAATCAGTTCAGGTAGGGGAGGCCATATCCACCCAGCGCACACTATTCGCAGGAGTGCCGCAAGGATCTGTTCTCGGCCCGCTTCTGGCCATCCTGTATTTAAACGGACTTAGTAGCATCACCGACAATGAAATGCTGTTTTTTGCTGATGACAGCTCACTGTATGCCAGTCACAATGCCGACAACGTTAACGAAGTTCAACGATCACTGCAACGTGACTTGGAACGCATCAGTCACTACGGAGATAATTGGATTGTAACTTTTAACGCAACGAAAACTACTCAGCAGACTTTCACGAAAAATAACGGTAAAATTCCCACCCTGGTTTTTGGTGGCGTAGGAATTCCCGTTCGAGATTCCCATAAGCATCTTGGCGTAACGATTTCTACCGACCTAAGGTTCAAGTCACATGTAGATAATGTCCTGTTAAAATTCAATCGCACGCTGAGTCCTCTATTTCCAATCGCACCCTTGATTCCCAGACTGATATTGTTGAATATATATCAAATGTACGTGCGTCCTCACCTCGACTACTGTGATACCATATATGATTGTCATATAACAATATTTGACAAATCACGACTGGAGAAGGCGCAGAACAGGGCAGCACGCCTCATCACTGCCACTCACCGCCGGACACCCACCTCCGGACTAAGGACTGAGCTTGGCTGGAGCACCTTACAAGATAGGCGCCGCACCCACAGGCTGAAACTCTATCATAAGATTATCGTCGACGAACGAGTGCCCATTTACATAAAAGATATAATACCAGCAACAAGAAATACGGCGGTAACACGACAATTACGCTGTACGCAATACAACAAACGCACTATCCCAGCGGCTCGCTCCGCGTCGTATGCAAGGTCTCTCGTCCCAGCTACGACCAGAACATGGAACGAACTGCCTGACACCATGCGGACAGAACACAGCATCAGACAGTTCAAGACCTCGTTGCACGCATATATAGGAATCACGCCACCGCGTTTTTTCTTTAATGTAGGGTCCAAAATAGGAAACATGTTACATACACGAATCAGACTGAGGGCCTCTGATCTACACGAGGATCAACATAAATTTGGAAAAAACAATACAACAGCTTGTAGATGTGGAGGCGCTAAAGAAAACGTGGAACACTTCTTACTCGTATGCCCACTATTTAATGTAGAACGAATGACATTATACGACAATTTATCAGCAGTGCTTGGAAACAACTTCAGAAATATCCCGCGGGAAGCCCAAATTGAAATTCTAACGAAGGGTCCATCTAAAACAAATAGGGACTCTGAAACTAACGTTGCGCTGGCTGTCCAGCGCTTCATTCTCCAGACGAAGAGATTTTCTCACTAGAATAGACATTAGATAAGCTGACGATCGAAGGGAGAACTGACTAACAAAAACATGCGAAGAAACTACTCTCTGCGCTAGCCGAGGGGCAGGGGGACAGGCGCTTCGGCTACAGGTTTAGGGTCGGCCACTTTTGCGAATGTGACATATAGTAATATGTAACAATGTGTAATGTCCATTGTAGGTACATTATACTATGTACACTGTATTGTGCTTGCAATTAGTAGTAGTAGTAGTAGTAGTAGTAGTAGTAGTAGTAGTAGTAGTAGTAGTAGTAGTAGTAGTAGTAGTAGTAGTAGTAGTAGTAGTAGTAGTAGTAGAAGTAGTAGGAGTCGTAGAAGTTAGTTATCGTCGTTAATTTAGTGTGGTGCGTTTCATATATCGATGCTTTTATAAGTGGTGCAGAGTACAAGTGGCGCGCATCCACGTTTGAACATTTACTGAGGAACATATGCAAATGTGTTGTGTGTGAGTAGTGATGTGTGTGAGGACACAAGAGTGTTTTAGATGCTGTACAAAACTTTTTCTCGAACGGCGTCTCGTATTAAGCGCCTCGGGCGCTTTTACGCCAATCGTGTATGTTATCTTTTTAATTTGTGTACATAGATCCAATAAATTGTCTCTCTCTCTCTCTCTCTCTCTCTCTCTCTCTCTCTCTCTCTCTCTCTCTCTCTCTCTCTCTCTCTCTCTCTCTCTCTCTCTCTCACTGCCTTCGACTGGCCTGCCACCAATCGCAACCATACCGTCACTAGGGCGTAGCCGTCAGGATGCTCATAAACACCGAGCGTCCGTCACGCTTCGAGCTCGGACTTTTGTAACCGGGATACGTGGGCAGTACTGGGCACCCATTTTAGTGTTTTGGTTCCAACGTTCAATTGTCTCTGTAAAGCTCGTACGAGGTGAGCAGTCATTTTTTGTAGCTATTTTGAGCTGAAAAGAAGAACAATGAAAAGCTGAAAACGCAACATTTAATCATAATGGCTTATGATATGGTTTGGATGTGGTGTGAAATTGCATAAGTCTAAGTAAAAAAAAAAATCACTTAAGAGAAAATCGCCTTTTCACTCATCGCCAACAATGTTATGAATGATACGATGTCAGATGCAACGCTCGTCCTTGAACAAACACAACATCCATTATTCCATTCCCATGGGTCAGAATAGGGGTTTGTTTATGATGACCGTTGACAATAAAGTGAGCATATGTCGTCTTTCCGACTATCGGTCGCCGATCGGGGTAACTTTTTCAAACATTATCCTCCCATGCATGACTTCATATAGGGGAAAATAGGGTAAGACGGGCACCTTAACTTTGGAGCTATTTTTTGGCCGGTTAGAAACATCATAGAAACGGGAAACTGAGTGAAAATCTTTTTGAGACATTTTACTTCCATTTGCCAAAAGATGAGACTTAGACCTGATTCAACAATTATACCGCAGCTATTTTTTCAAAACCTTGCAAAAACCCGTCTTACCCCACCCCATGGGGTAAGACGGTCACATGGGTAGGGCAAGACGGCCATCTTCTTTCAACGACCAGCACAGCTCGCAACAAAGTCCCGAGATAAGCCACATTGATACAGTCGCTCGTTGGTCTCAAGTGCTTCGGAAATGGCAGTATACGATACGAGATTCGTCCAGAAGGCGTATGCTCGTATATAGGCCCTAGTTCGGAAGCCGTGTAGAACCGTTTTTCACATTCATTATTCGAGAATAAACTGTGCCGAAGGAATATTGCTAACAGTCTGTGAGTATCGGAATGGAACATATTCTTATTAGAAATGCTTCTTTTTTCCTAGAGCAACAAAAAAAAATTTCACCATTAACAGACCCATTGGATTCATAGTTGCCCGTCTTACCCCAACCTCTTCCTGACTGAATGATTCTTTACGTGAGAAAAGTCACTTTAACATTTTAAAAAAAGTTGTTGGTGTGTTTTGTTGAGTTACTACTTACTATCCACATGCCAGATCTATTAGGTATATAGTATACATCATGTCCAGACTCATTTTGGAAACTTAAATTTCATTTTTATGACCGACTTCTGTCAATGTAAATTGGACTGATTTGACCTTGTTTGACCTCCCTGTGACGTCACAGGTCAAATATCAAGGTCATCGATATCCTATCTTGTGCGTCTCGATGACCTCTTTCGAATGCCGTTCGAATTTTTCCGATCCGGCTATTGGTTCCGGATATACGACGGGGGGCCCCTTGCGCCCGCGGGTTAACGTGGGCCCTTCCCTTGCGCCTCCCCCCAAACAGGACGTGGAGCCTGCCAGACCTCAAGGGGGAGCGGGTTAACCCTCGCCGGCACAGAGAGGGTTGATGTAACCCCCCTAAGGTTTTTCGCGAATAACTCGCGTAAAAAGCGGCCCATTGCGACGAAACTTTTAGTACCCTCGCATTGATCAATTTTACACCCACCCTGAAAGTTTCATGACCCTGACCCAAATGACCTTTGACCTGTGACCTCTTTTCCGAGACCATGTTTGGCCGGAATCGCGATTCCGCGTGTGTCGGCTCGCATTAGTTTTGCAAGCGTTTGCAAGCTTTTCGTGGTTTCAAGCGTTCAAACATGTGATTTGATGTTGCTCCCATGCATTAGGGTGGGTGTCAAGGTCACCTGAAGGTCAAGTCAGGTCATTGACCTTTGGTGACCTCGCTTCACTTTTTCGAGTTTTACATGTTTCTGGGCTATTTTTTGGAGCTGAATTCGAATTTAGCAACCATTTGAACATTTACGAAGTAGTTTTGGTGCCTTTGTAACATGTTACGAAGCTGTCAGAGGCGGATGACAGGTACTACGAATACCCGTCACGACCCCTACCGGTTGACCTAACCTGACCTGACCCGACCTGGTCTAAACGCTTAACGACATCATCTGTGATCAAAACTAACACGATATTGTGAAAAGCGATAATGTGAACACATATATTGCACACATTATCGCTTTTCACAAACGTCAAACTGTCATACCACATAACACGATATTCGTGATCAGCACCCCGGAAAACCCATTAGCAGCCACACTACGACTTTCTATCAGGTCCCGATATTCCCGATTTTTGGGTCATTGGCCTGACCTGGAAGGTCAACCGATGACCTAGGACCTTATTGGGTAGCATTGGCTTCCTCTTGTGACGGGCAGCACGCTCATTTTTCTGCGAAGCTCTAGCTCCATCAGGGGCCAAACGCGAGGGGGGTCGTACCCCCCCCCCCCTTGTGCCGTCGAAGGACTCAAAATGGCCTGTGCAGGCGAGGGTTAAGTAACTCAATAGAAAACTAGCCTGTACTTATATACCTCGAGTAAATACACGGATTAAGGTAGAGCTTCTTTCCGTTCGGCACATTTTTATGTCATTTTAGATGCTGCACGTGTCAAACGGCAGTTCACTTCAAAGCCTATAACTCACCGCTCGGATCTCGGTCAGTGTGGTTTTTCTGATGGCGGAGAAGAAGGAGAACATCATCTGGACAATCCGGATGGCGGCTCCGGCGGACGGCTCGGCGCGTCCGCAGCCGGCACGGCCGGCCTGGAGCGGCTACCGCGAGCGGCCCGGCCCGCCGCCGCCGCCCGCCTCCGACGTCGTCACTCAGCTGAGCATCACCGGCGTGTCGCTCGTCTGTAATCCCGGTAAGCAATCGTCTGTAACCCTGGTAAATTGTACGTAACCCTGGTAAGCAGCCGTCTGTAACCACGGTGAACAGCCGTCTGGAACCCTGGTAAATTATTTTCTGTAACCCCGGTGAGCTGGAAAGCATTCGGCTGCAGCCCCAGGCACCATTGAGTCTGCCAGTAATATGGCGAATTCATTGCCTGTTACCCCGAGAACCAGCCGTATGTTTGTTTTTTGCCGAGCACTGTTCACATTGAACACGCAAAGTAGTTTCACTATGGTGGCATCGACCACTCTTCTGTATATAGTTCCGACGTTACTAGGCTGGCCCTTCGTGATGAACAGAGAGCATGCACTGAGGCTTGTATCGTTTTAGCACAGGACTGAGTCTTCGACCGGTAAGCATCGGACGATATTGGTGATGACGATTGCCACTCTGCCCCCAGGGGCCTTTTGGCTGCGCCGTGCCGCCTGGTTCCTGGTGATCGCCGGCCTACTCGTCTGGCTGTGCTTCCAGCTGAAGGAGTGCATCACTCGCGTGCAGGCCGGCGGGACCACGCGCCAGTGGTCCCGCCAGATGCTCGACAACATCCCCGTACCGGCCATCACCGTCTGCCATGGCAACGTGTTCAAAAAGAACCGCGTGCTGCGGTACACGAACGAGGGCGTGACATGGACAGAGTTTCGCCACCGCAGCTTCGCCGCGCTTAACTGGAGCAGCTTCGACGACATCGGCGAGTTCTACAGCGACGCCGTGTACAATTGGAGCGACATGATGTTCTGGTGCGAGGTGCAGGGCAGGCTGTGCTCAGAGGTCGGCTCACTCACGCCCGTCGCAACCCTGGCCAACGGCATGTGCACGACATTCAAGACCAACGCGACGGTGAAAAAGCGCTCTTCCACGGGGCAGGTGATTCTCGCCTTCAACGAGACACAGCAGCTCGACAGCTATGAACACTCTGGATGGTGGATTCACATTCACTCGCACCAGATTCCCTTTGACGAGATATCCATATTCACGGGACTCACGATGTGGCTCAGAGTCGCAGTCAACAAATGGTACAACATTCGACTGACGCACATCAGAAAGTCGCTGCTGCAGTCCACAGGTCAGTGCAACGCAGCTGAACAGGCCGAACTGCGCTACAACGAATGCATAGGGTTCTGTCTGATGACGAGGCTAAACATGACTGTGAGCTGCCGTGTTCCCTGGTTCGAGAACCACGCGTACCCGCCCGAGGTGCCGCCGTGCCGCTCGCTGGCCGAGCTGGCCAGGAACAGCCCGGCACACCACCACCTGGACGAGGACTCCTTCCTGCAGATGTCGTCCGGCTGCGAGTGCGTCCAGCCGTGCGCCTCCGAGCGGTACGAGGTCCAGCAGCAGACCGTTTGGCAACTGGAGGACACCGTCGTCTACCAGGACTACCCGTCCATGATCGGAAAGAACGCGTCGCGGGTGGACCTGTCGCTGCCGCCGCTGGTGCAAGTTATCAACGAGCGCGAGGCCTACTCGTTCCAGACGTTCATCTCGGAGGTGGGCGGCAGCCTGGGCCTGATGCTCGGAGGTTCGCTGCTCACCCTCGTCGAGATCATCGACTGTGTCGTGACCGCCTGCTGCGCCAGACGGGCCAAGCGGTGGTGACCGCCACAGCCCGACATGGCAAACACCTTTTAGAGCCTAAACTGTCGCACTTGTTGTAGTTAGGGGGGGGGGGGGTCGCATGAACCCAGCTCGTTTTTTTTGCAAATAATTCGCGCAAAAAGCGACCGATCGCGACGAAAAATTTAGTAACATCTGTCCCCTAAAATAGTGGACAAATTTTCAAAATGCGATAGCTTAAAGGTCATGTCGATGCCATATTTATTTACCAAAACTTGCCTGGAATATGCACTCGTGCATCCTCTACTTGCTCGTGCCTACATTAGCGCATCGGCGCCCTCCCGACCAACGCGACGGAGGTCTCCGCGCTCGTGCTCCAGCAGAGTGCCTTACCCACGATCCTCAGCAACGCCGCCTCCCGCAGGCGTCCACCGGAAAAGGGCGGCAAATGAGCGAAGTTTAACCTTCGCCCCAGTGGGGGGGAGGGCATATGTTACCACCCTGTCGCGTTTTTTGCGTGTAAATAGCGCCGCGCCGCTTGGGGTAGCTTTTTGTACATCAATTTTGGACAATGTGTGAAATTTTTGACCCCAGGTCATGTCAGGTCAGGTCACCAGGTCAAGTTAACTGACCAAGCCTAAAAACAGTTTGCAATCATGTCCAGCCTGCAGTGTTTGTCAGAAAGGTTTCAAACTTGGTGGATTGCATGATGTTATGGGCGCCTACAATTTGTATATCTCGGATTTTTATATCCGTGACCTAAGGTCAGATCAGTGGCGTGACCTTACCATTACAAGGCAATGGAGAAAAATGAAAATGCCTCTAGATCCGTGTGTACGCAAAGGAACAGTCCAAATATTTCAGAATCACAATGATCTGGACCACCCGTGACGACCAAGGTGCGTTTTTTGCTGATAGCCTCTAGAAAGGTCATCCGAGGTCATTTGAGGCTACAAACAGATTTTTGCCAATAACTCTCGATTGGAAAGAGATAGGACGCTGGGGATGGCCTCATTGTGTTTGTCTTGTTGAGACGCATCGAATGATATGCAACATGACCTTTTCCGGTCAGGTCATGACCTTGACCTGAGGTCAAATTTTCAAGTTGACCTTTCAAGGTCAAATTATAGTTCATTCGACGCGCCTCGTCGAGAGGAACACGATTCTGGCAATATAAACGTTGTGGCTTTTTTAAGTCAAAAGTTATTGTCGAAAAACACAATTCGCAAAAACAGCTATTTTTGGAGTTTTTTACCTCTGGGGGCTAAACCGTTGACCTGAGGTCAATTTTGATGAGAGCCTTATCAAAAGAAGAGTTCAAAAGCTATCGATTGCTTTTCCATGCGTTTTTCTAGCTATCATAGTTCCTGAGATATGTGCATGTTGTCTGAGAAATATAATGACATTTGGCAAATTTTGACCTTTGATGACCTCCAGTGACCCCAATATTGCTCTAAGATGAAAATGACCTGAATACTTTCAAACGTACGCATTGAGAGCTATCGACTGCTTTTTACTGCGTCTTTCTAGCCCTCTTAGTTTTTGAGTTAGAGGTGGGTGGTAAGATATGCCCCCCCCCCCCCACTAGGGCGAAGTTGGCTGAGACCGCCACTGGGGCGCGGGTTAAATTGCCATTCCAGATAGCAACGCCTGATTAGAATAAAATGTACTTTCTCATATTGCCCCGGTATGTCCCACCTTCCCCTATTATTGGAAATTTTTTATTCGCGGCGCTTTTCTGTGTGTTATATTCCGTCACATTGTAATCCTGCCGACGCCCCTTCTCACGCCACCTGGTGGTGACCTGACTGTGGCGCGCCGACTGGCCGTGGTCTAGTCAAAGTCGCTGTGACAGACTGTTCGATGTGCCGACCAATCACATTGCCTTGTTTTTTTTTTACGCCTTGTGTGTTGGTCCCGTTTTTACTGGCGCCGCGTAAGCTTTCACTGGCAGAGAAGTTTACGCGTAAGTAAGAGAAAAACACTACAAATGGACCTCACTTTCAAGGTCGCCTGTATTCCGCCCTCGTGTACGACTTTTGTGCGCAACGGAAAATAATAGTTTTGGTCAGTGGTCTCATTTGATAGCCTGATCAATTTTGTCTGTGTTGAAAACCTAAAAATAAATGCGCATAGCGGTCTAATACCCGTTTAAAAACAGGCCGCAATGCGCCCTCCCCATAGACCCTAATGCTTACCGTCGGGAGTTTCCGTAAGGATCTTGGGAGTATCTCACTGTAAGAATCTTGGAGTTTCCATCAATGATGCTTACCGAACGCTAGGTCGCAGGTCGATCGTCCGGAACGCTGCCCCAAGATTACTTGACTACTCCGCTGCCCATTATGTTGACCCTCGCCGGACCTATTTGTTTTCTAAAGACGCGCCGGCGGGTGCGTATCATTTAGACCAGGATTCATAATTTCCAGGGCACGATGTGTCCAGCGTTTGAAATAGCCAGGGCCTTGAATTGGCGAGTGTTCATATTGTTCAGAGATTAAATGGTCCAAAGGTGGCCAACTGGCTGCAGATAGGGTAAAATCAAAGAGGCCAGGGTTCACAATGTTCAGGGCCGATGTGTCCAGGGTTCGAAATGGCCAGGGTTCATAATGCCCAGGGCACGTTGGTCCCCCTCCCCCCCCCCATTGGTCCAGTGTTCAAAATTGCCAGTGCCTTGAATGAGCCAGACTTCATAGTGTCCAGGGATTACATAGTCTATTCTACCCAACCAAATCTTACCTAACCTCACCTAACCCGCGCTCCGTAGGGGAGGGGGCAAAACGGTCCCCTATCCATTTCCGTCAATATCTCCTAAACAGCTGCAGATATCGCCGCCAAACTTTCAGGACCCCTCCGGGCATCAATTTTACACATTGTGACAAAAAAATTCCAGAGGCTTTGATAGTTTGGCCACAAATGACGTCAGAATGACATGTTCTGCCATTTTCGCCGAAAAAAGAGCTTCGCGAGAAAAGCTTTCAGGCCTACAGCTTTGAAGGTACAAAAAATGATTAAGACATTAAAGGTGTAAAATTAACAGGGCTACAAAACTGCTATCTCTGATTTTTAAAATATTTGAATTTTGACCCTAAAAAATCAAAAAAGTAATTTTTTGGATATATTAGCAAAGAAATAAAAAAATCAGTTTCGAAAAAACGGAACAGGTATGATAGTCACTACCGTCTTCTATCTACATACCAAAATTCAGATCGATATCTCTTCTTTTTGGCCAAGTTATGGCGAAAAAAAAACGTTAAAAAATGATGACGTCAAATTTCTAAGCTCAATTTTCGGCAATTCTAGACCACGTAGGGCAAAACAAAGATCACCATTAGACTCCCAATGACGAGCTGCATCGAATCAATTACTCATTTTAGGCAAAAATATCAACTTTGAAATTTGACCTAATTTGACCTAAACTTGACCTGAACTTCACCAGAACGTAGCCTAAATGGCCCCAAAGGCTGCCTGACCCACATAATCGCATTTGTCATGTAAAATGGACCATGAAACATGTATCACATGACACTTTCATATTGGGACCCCCAGTGACCTGACCTCTGTGAACTGACCTGGTATCAGTGACCTCAGATAGCAAAGTATGCGTTTGACGAGCAATGTACCATCGATGGTGTTCAATAGTCATCGGTTTGACCTAGGTCAATGAAATTTGGTCACAAGGTAGTTCCTCGATGTGGCTATCGAACGCCGTTTGAATTTTGAAAATCGGCCGGTAAATTTCCGAGATCTTAGGGGGGCCGAAACGCCAACCCCCCTACGGGTTGTAGGGTCCGCCGATAGCCCTTATGACTGAAACAGACTCTTTCCGCAGTCAGGAAATCGCATGCCAGAGCCTATTCAAATACATGGAAGCACGCTCGCATCAATCGCACGCACCTCCCTGATGCGATTGATGCGGGAAGAATTATAAATGTATTTGAACTTCAAATACATTATGAATCGAGTTAACGACCAATTAACATTTTAACGGGAAACGGCGGGGTCTTTCGATTTGGCTCAAATTAGTATACAGGGCCTCCTCGATGCGCTGATTCCGAAAATGCACCTTTCTGGGGTGGCATTTTGCACCGTTAACGAGTTAACGACCAATTAATATTTTAACGGGAAATGGCGGGGTCTTTCGATATGGCTGAAAATCGGTATCCAGGGCCTCCTCGATGCGCTGATTCCGAAAATGTACCTGTTTGGGGTGGTATTTTGCACCGTTAACGAGTTAACGACCAATTAACATTTTAACGGGTAACGGCGGGGTCTTTCGATTTGGCTGAAAACCGGTATACAGGGCCTCCTCGATGCGCTGATTTCGAAAATGTGCCTCTTTGGGGTGGTATTTTGCACCGTTAACGAGTTAACGATCCGTTTATATTTCAGCAGCATATATCGATTTCAGCAGCAAATTTTCGGGGTCTTTCGATTTGGCTTAAAATCGGTGTACAGGGTCTCCCCGATGCGCTGATTCCGAAAATGTACCTCTTTGGGGTGGTATTTCGCACTGCTAACGAGTTAACGACCAATTAACATTTAAACGGGAAACGGCGAGGTCTTTCGATTTGGCTGAAAATCAGTATACAGGGCCTCCTCGATGCGCTTATTTCGAAAATGTATCTCTTTGGGGTGGGCAAATTTTCGGGGTCATTCGATTTGGCCTAAAATCGGTGTACAGGGTCTCCTCGATGCGCTGATTCCGAAAATGTACCTCTTTCGGATGGTATTTTGCACCGTGAACGAGATAACGACCAATTAACATTTTAACGGGAAACGGTGGGTTCTTTCGATTTGGCTGAAAACCGGTATACAGGGCCTCCTCGATGCGCTGATTCCGAAAATGTACCTCTTTGGGGTGGTAATTTGCACCGTTAACGAGTTAACGATCTGTTTACATTTCAACAGCATATATCGATTTCAGCAGCAAATTTTCGGGGTCTTTCGATTTGGCTTAAAATCGTTGTACAGGGTCTCCTCGATGCGCTGATTCCGAAAATGTACCTCTTTCGGGTGGTATTTTGCACCGTTAACCCTCGCCC